AGATCTTGAAACATCCTTTGTGATGATGAATGCCATGCCATTCCTCTTCAAATTGTCATTTCCGGCACAGTAGATCATATGATAGTCTGATTCAAAATGGCTGAAACCGGTCCATTTCAGCTCACTAATACCTAGGATATCAGTCTTTATGTGTTCCATTTCATTTTTGACAACTTCCTATTTTCCTAGATTCATACTTCATACATTCCATGTTCCAATTATTAATGGATGTTTCCAGCTGTTTCTCCTCAATTTGAGTCAAGCCACGTCAGCAAATGGAGATCCCAAAGGCTTTATTTTATCCATATCATTAAGACTGGTTCTACTCTAATGAGGCAGCTCTTTCCCAGTTGTATTTTGAGTGCTTTCTGACCTCAAGAGGCTTGTCTTCCTGCACTGTATTGGACAATGTTTCTAGGCTATTCATAACATTGCCTAGTAATGTATCAGACAGTGCTTCTCTGCTATTCATAAGGTTTTCCCTGGCCAATTATTTGAGGAGTGGATGGCCCTCCCTTCTTCCTAGTCTGTTTCAGTCTGTAAGCTGCATTGAAACCTGTGCACCATGAGCAACCCTGCTGGCATTTGAAACACTGGTGGCAGCCTCAAGCCTCACAGCAATGCACAAGCCACCACAGTATGACAAAATGACAGACAAGTTTGTCTCCCTTTGCTGTTGGAAAACTCTCTGCCCTCCCCTTACCTGATTCCTACCTGGCTCCTGCCACTTTTGCCATCCAGGGCATTCCCTCCCTTTCCTGCTTCTGGGGGGTGGATCCTATCTGCCACCCCTTACCTGGCTCCTGCTGCTTTTGTTGTCCCCAGCGTTCCCTCTCTTTCCTGTCTCTTGGGGTGGGTCCTGTCTGCCCAACCACTCAAAAATGTTTGCAAGTATATTGACAGAGAACTTCCAGAAATGCAAGCTGGATTCAGAAGAGGATATAGAACCAGGGATATCATTGCTGATGTCAGATGGATCTTGGCTCAAAGCAAGAATACCAGAAAGGTGTTTGTGTTTTATTGACTATGCAAAAGCATTTGATTGTGTGGATCGTAACAAATTGTGGGTAATACTGAGAAGAATGGGAATTCCAGAACACTTAATTGTACTCATGAGGAACATTGACCAGGAGGCTGTCATTCGAATAGAACAAGGGGACACTGCATGGTTTAAAATCAAGAAGGGAGTGTGTCAGGGTTGTA